GTTCCCAAAGCAGCAGAGTTTCTCAGTAAAGCCTCCTCCATCCCCTCAGTCCCCGGTGCCATCGGTGGTGAAGCAGATAGTCAGCCAGTTCCCCCCTCCTCCCACGCCACCTGCCACTGATCCCCAGCCTCTGAAACCCCTTCCACTGAGTGTGGCTCCACAGTCACCTCCAGCAGTGAAGGCAAAGCCCAAATGGCAGCCTGCTGCTGCTCCCTCACCAGATTTCCCACCTCCCCCACCAGAGAGCAGCTTAGTGTTTCCTCCTCCACCTCCTTCCCCAGCTTCCTCTGCAGGTTCTCCCCCACCTGACAAATCAGGGTCTCCAGTCAAAAAGGCCGGTAAAACATCAAGCCCTGGAGGGAAGAAACCGCCTCCAACACCTCAGCGCAACTCCAGCATCAAGTCCACAAGCTCCACGGAGTACCATGAGTCTAAGAGGCCTTCAGTGGACCGCCTTGTCAGCAAATTTGCACACTCACCAGAGCCGTCAGGATCTCCTTCCAAGGAGTCATCACCTCCTCCAGCCCCTCCAAAGCCAGGAAAGCTCAACCTATCTGGTCTGCCCATTGTCCTTCCACAGGGTGGGATACCAGCCAAGGCTTCTGCTCCGAGTGTGTCTGGAAAGGAACCTGTGGTTGAATTCCCTTCACCACCATCCGATTCAGACTTCCCACCACCACCACCTGAAATAGATCTTCCTCCCCCTCCAGTAGAAATTCCATCTGTGTTTTCAGGCAGCACCTCCCCAAAAGTCGCCGTTGTAAATCCCCAGCCACAGGCGTGGTCAAAACCATCTGTGAAAAAAGCCCCACCACCCACACGCCCCAAGCGGAACGACAGCACCCGACTGACACAGGCAGAGGTCGCAGAGCCCCCAGGGTCAGCCGGCCCACAAGTGCCCACGTCACCCAAGTCCAGCCTTAGCGTTCAGCCGGGATTCCTGGCAGACCTCAACCGGACGCTGCAGCGGAAATCCATCACCCGGCACGGCTCCCTCTCCTCCGCACGGGTGTCCAGAACAGAGCCCACCGCCACCATGGACGACATGGCCCTGCCTCCACCCCCACCAGAGCTGCTCGCTGACCAGCAGAAGACCAGCAGCTTTGGGGGCAGTCATATATCTGGCTATGCAACGTTACGGAGGGGGCCACCCCCCGCACCCCCCAAAAGGGATCAGAACACCAAGCTGTCACGGGACTGGTAGTCAGTCCCTAGGGCCAGTGCTCTCCATGACTTGTGGGCTGCTCTGCGATCGGCCAGCCCATGGTCTTGTGCACGTGGAGAGGATGTGGGGATGTGGATGATAGCCCCATTAAAAGAGGTGATCTCAAACTGCAGCTATGGCTAAATGTAAAGACATTCCCCTTCCATGGCTAGGTTAAAAATTTGGAGGCTTAGGGATGTTGATACTTTAGTGGGAAAAGTGGGTAGAGAGGTGTTGGCTTCATTCTTTCACTTACTTTTACCCTTCTTATGGATTGGACCAAACCCCTTATTTTCTTTTTCTGCATTTAGGGGAGGGGGAGGGAGATACATTTTGTAGTGTCTGTCCACGTGAGACATGTTTGTGCATGTATTATAAGTGTAGGTATATAATATATTGTGATCTATTTCGTCGCAATTATAGAAGATAACCAGAATGTTTTTGTAGAACCGTATTTATTGTTTCAGTCAGTATATTATCTGGAATTGGACTCTAACTGGTCAAATCTTACCATAAAGATGGAGATGTAGGGGGCACTTTAAAGAAAGGAAATAAAAAACATAAACCCACAAACTTCTCAGCAGTTTGTGGTGGGTAAATTTTGCAAAGCTGAGGTGTTCGGCTGGTAACTGTATATTGTCCATTGATTGAAAAGTACAGAGGCAACATACCAAAACATTCTGGTCATAATACTACTGAAAATGAGTATGTTCAGAGGAAAGAAATAGATTTTATATATAGTGGGCTGGAGTGAAATATATTTATACTATAAAGAGCCTCCCCCTCCTTTCAGATAGTATAAAAATATACACCGATACAAATTATTTCAAACTTACTTGTCCATGCAGTTAAGTAGGATAAATATATATTCCAAACCATTATGCATTCTAACTGTTAGTAGGCTCAGTCATTTGTTTCTATGGCTCACGATGAATATATCTGTGTTAACCCCTTCTGAAAGCTGCCAGGATTCCTGCAATCGAAAATCCTGCCAACCCCCAAGGCTGACCCACGCCGATCCGTGAGCTGTCCGTGTAGCTCTTACCCTGAATGAACAGGTAGGTTCCTGTAGAAAGCGCTGTGTGCTCACGCAGGCATGCACAGCGTCCAGTCTCACCTGGTCTGTGCCTGGTAAGATGCAGTGTCTTCACAAAAACAAGCGTCTGGAAATGTGTAAAGAAAGTATTGTTTGTAACTGATTAGAAATTTTCAGGAAACTTTCCTTTCAGGAAAGAGAGAAGGGAGCAGCAATTTCAGGACAAGGAGAGTAGGAAGTCACTCTCAGAGACTGTGACCAGTGCATTAACCTGTTTATTACAAAGTTGCACTTCTAGCAGTCAAGGAAGAAGTCTGGAAATAAAACAACCTTAAAGAGGCAATAACATTTGCTAGGAATTTCATCTAAGGGCCCATATGAGTAGAAAACAGACTATTGATTTGCTTGCTTTTTTGTTAGTCACCGATATCGGTCACCAGATGGAGTATGACAGTCCTTTTTCTTCAGGAGCTACTTCTGTAGCTTGATTGTACAGTCTGACCCACATATTCAGACCTTATGATAAGGTAGTGTAAGTGGTCTTATGTATCATTGCACATTCCTTGCAGGGTGGTGGGCCTTTGTAAAACTAAAATACTTGGACTGTAACTACCCCATCTTCAGCTGTTACTGCCTCCTTTGTCACCATGGGGATACTGTCAATAGGCTCATAGGGCAAATAATTTCATTGTTTGCATACTTTTTCTCCAAAAGCAAACTTGAAATGCTTTCTTTCTCCCAAAGAATAAAACAAAGACAGAAGCTTGACCTGGCAGTTATCCTCACATGTGTAAAACCAATAGAAACTGGTCTCTCATTAGAGTAATTCAGAATGATACATTTAAGAAATATTGTGACAGTGTCCCCCATTCCTTTTTTTTATAAAGTTGTTGTTTTGGGTTTTTTTAACCAAATAGTGAAATAAATGTCTTTGTGAATATTTTATGAATAGGAAAAAAAGTTTTGCTAATTTGAGGTGGAAAATTACACATCTATAACTATATAGTTTTAAATAGGTGCATCATGAAAAGAGAAAAATTAGTGGTGCTGTCTCTGATGACCTGTTTCATATGATTTTTTAAAAAATCTGTTTCAGCACCTCTGGAAATTGTTTTAATATTTCAGACTAGATTTTTTGAGCAATAAGAGTATATACCATTGTGTGCATTTTTAAAGCACTGCTATGGAAAGGCACTTTTTTGTATCTTTCAAATTGTCCACCAAGTTTTGTTTGTACTATTTTTGTGCTTACAAAGTGTCCTTAAAAGCATTTGCATTGTTGATTTTAAGCATGCTCAGTGTAGCTGGTGACTAACTTCACAGGAAGGTTGTTAAGCTATACTGCAGCTCACGGGTGCTGCAATTTTCACCGTTGGTCCTCTTGCTGATTTTTCGTGTGCGCAGCTCCTGGGGCTCAGACACACCCGTGGGCAAAAGGTGCTTGCTGCAGCTGAAACTGCTCGGCCCTTAGCCGTGACGGGTAAGTGGGCACATTCTCCTGCTCCTGGCAAGATGCACCTGGGCTGAGGCAGTGTGTGCTCCAGGTGAGAGCAGTCAGGGAATTCTGTTTGCCCCACCTGCTTTTCTTTTCCCCAAGACGGCCTCACTGGTGTGTGTCATTTCCAGCCCTTTTACTTTACTTCATTCGGTGCGGGTACCTCTGGGCTTTGGAGTTGGCACACCAAGGTTTTGAGTGCCATTTCTTTAGAGGCATTTGAGCTTTGTTCTTGTTTTCCTGTGCTCACATTCATATCCTCGGTATCTCTCCCTAGGTAATGAATCCATGCTTACTACTGCAGGCTGCCCACAGCTTGCTGGGAGACAGCTGTGTAACTCCTAAGTCTGCAGCAAAAAAAATTTATGTCAGCAAAGGTGGCACCCTGTATTCCTTCTAGTTAGTTTCCTTCCTAAGGCAGTAGTGATCCACTGAGCACCTGCTGCTTGTTTTCTCTCAACTGAGCATGGAAATTTGGCTACAGCATGGTTCAGAAAATCTGGTTGCCTGTTCAGGTTATGAGATACCTCCCATTGTAACTTGCTTTTCTGGTATGTTTACTGGTTTTGTGACAGTAAATATTTACACCTTATTTTGCAAGTAAGTTATTTTCCCCCATGTGCAGTCATCTCATAACTGCACCATAATATTTATTAAATCAGAAAATTAAGGGGCTGGATTTCAGACGCCCAGGAAGAGGCTTCCTGCTACAAACATGAGCAGTAATACTTTGGGCACTGTTACAACGGGCACGTGAAGGCTGAGTGTTCATACCCTGGACACAAAAGTGCTTTGATCCCAAAATACGTGTATGGCTGGAGTTGGAATACATGAGGCAGGGCACAGGCTGGTCACTTGTTAAGGTGGGTGTCAGGGGAGCCCTGCTCCTGCAAGGGCAGCTGAAAGGGCTCAGCTGTGTTTGTTAGTATTTTTTTTCCACATTTGGTCTTCATTTCCCCTGTGCTATGCAGCATAGCATCCACCTCTGAGTAGCAGAACCCTGTTCAGCCAGGTGCCTGTGCCTGCAGCCCAGGTGTAAAAAGCAGGGAGCTATTCTCAGTCATTACATCGCAGTTCAGGTGTTGGGGAGTTGCTCTGAAAGTGAAAACTAGGCTCTTCTAGCAGCACTAAGCTTAGATGAGAAATTGTTTTTAAAAAAAATTGTTCTAAGCAAACCACAGGCAGCATGTTTCAGGTGGCTGTGCTAGGGGTCCTGTTTAGTCTTTTAACAGCTGTAGCTGGGAGAGAAAGGCACAAGTGTCTAAATAATTCTTTTATTTTCTATGGAAGAGGAAGTTTCCTGCTTCACCCTTCACAGTGGTTTCCTCCTGCAGCAAATCACCACTGACTGCTCTGACTTGGTGAAGACCTCAAAGCCAAAGAGCTCCTCTCCTGAGATTACTCTGCAGTTCTCTGCAGGGCAACAGTGAGTGACACATCAGGGAAACAAAGTGCAGGTACCTGGATTTTTTTTTTTTTCAGGTCTGAGGGGAAAGGAAGCAGTTTTTTCAACAAGTGCATTTTAACGTTTACTGTTCTGGGCTTGCACATTTGAAGATTTTCTAATTCCTTCTTTCTGTGCCCTTAGACAACCAGATAAATCATATCAGCTCAGAGATAGAGTGGCCAGTCTTCCTCTCAGTTAAATTTTTTTTTCCACAGTTTAAGGAACCAAAAGTGCCATTTCAACAGCAGAAGGGCAAAAAGAGAATTTTTCTGTTTTTTACAGAAAACAGCATAGAACCAAATTGTTTTGCTACAGTGGTACCATCACAGGTAAATTTGTATCTTATTCAAAATAAGATTATAAGTGGCTCCTAGTATGAGTATTACTTAACTAGTGTCATGTTAAAATCAGTTGCACTCCAGCAAAGCAGTATGAATTCCTGGCAGAAAGTAGTGACGATGCAGCCAGAACATGGGAGTTTGATTGGTTGCTGGGTTTGGTTTTTTTTAGCATATTAAGGTGTAGATTACATACTCAGTGACACTCAGCTGCAGGTGAGTCTTACTACTTTGGGGCCCGTTTGTGGCACCTCCTGTTGGGCTCTGCATTCATTCCCTTGCACCCACTGGGGCACACTCCAAACCAGAGAGGACTGAACACTACAGGGGAGTTTCTCTTGGATGTTTTTTGCCACATGCTGGTGGGATTTTAAGCTTTATTTTGGAATTCTGATTTTCTACATTGAGTAATTTTCCTTTCTGAACTTTCTTTCCTTCAATTAAAAAATGCCCATGAAGACTGACCAAACCAGGGTTTTGTTGCAGGGGGCAGCACTCACTAATACTGTGACACAGGCTTGGTCTAATTTTGAGAAGTTTAAGACACTAAACTGCAAATGAGATGACAAACACATGCTTATCTTTCAGAGTGTAAATTACTTCAATTGCTACTAACCAACCACAGGGCAAATAATGACTTGGATGATGATCATTCAGTGCTCTGAGGCACTCAGTGGGGCAAGGACTCAGTGAGCTCTCTGCTCAGTAGATGGATCTTGGGTAAAGGGGAGTTAGAGAAGGTAGAAGACCAGGAGGAATAGGAACTAGTGCTGTAGAAATGAGTGAGAAGGATTGTCAATAAAAGATTGTGGACACTATCCCCCCCTTATTTAAATACTTGAAGGCAACTTGTCTTTTAGGAGATTTTGGAATTCAACCATTTGCTACAGTGGAAAACAATTTCCTTCCAGCTTTCCCAAGATGCCAAAGATGCATTCTGAGCTGAATTCCAGGTATGCAGATGTGTGTACACCAGTCTCTTGTTGCCAGGGGTCTCATACTGCTGACGTGTAGCACGTCTGGTGAGAGAACAGGGTTGCCGCTCTTAGATGTTGTGTGTCCCTTGCCTTTAACCAACACTGGAAGTGGGTACACACTTGCAAACAACAGTGTAGCAAACACAGCTGTGCCCATGGCACCCTGCTGCCTGATTTGGTGCAGCACAATAGCACTTGTACTTGTAAAAGAAAAACTAAATGTTTTGTCACAAGTTGTAATTGGAAATCTTAGGCCTCCTAGTGGACTGCAGTGGACCAGAAATGAGCTGGAGCAGCAGTTTGGTTTATGGCTTACACTAATTGTTACCAGTCACTGGGAATATTCTGTACAATACTGGAGATGCAAGTGTAAGAAGTGTCATTGCAATGATGATTTGTCTGTGCAGCAAACTTGTGCTGAGTGCTGTAAATATTCATGTTTACTGCTTTAAAAAGAAAATTGCACATTTTATCTTTCAACAGGACTGCCTCCCCTCTTCTTCCCTTTCCAAAAAAAAAAAATAAATAAAATCAAAGCTCTTTTAGACTGATAGCTTCAGGTTGGGGGGAGCTTTACCATATTATAAATATATATAAATATATGTATAAATATACTTTTTTAAGCATGAGAGAGGACAGAAGAAATACTACATTATAGAATACCCAATATAGATCATTATACAATGGAATATGCACAATTCAATAAAGATGTAGTTAAATTTAATACTCTGTTTTAATCCTCTGTCTTCCAATTTTCCTTTTTCATCAGCTCACTGTGTTTTCAGGTCATCAGTGGTTGCTCTCAGTAGGGGTCAAGTAGCTGATGGCCTACAGCTGTATAGCATTTCTGTGCTCACTCCCAATGAAACTGCTGTTCCTTTGCAGTTTGTTCTGCTGGGTCAGAGCTGGCTGTACCAGCCATGGCTGCACACCAGTTAAAGGGCTGAAGAGGACCCCCTTGTGAAGGCTCACCTTTTCCATCTGCTCCTTGCTCAGGCTTGAAGAGTCTGTCCAGCTCTGCTCACACAGAACAGCTGCAGGCTGGGAAGTGCTGCTGTGGCCCTACTCTGGAGGCTGTAGGGAACGTGGCTGGGAATGCTCTCACCAGCCTCACCCTGCGTCCCTCCACAGCAGAGATCTGAGAATTACATTAGCACGTGCACAAAATGGGGAGTCCCACAGAGGCTGAGGAGCTGCTGAAGGCAGCAGGCTGGATGCCAAGGTACATTTGCTGTGGGAAGTGCTGTGTCTCAGGGACAGGCCTCCTGCTTGCACAAGACATGATCCCTGGCCCTAGCACGTTGAAGTCTGTAGCCAAAGACAAGAAATGTGACACGACTGTGGCACGCTCACAGAACACATGAGGTGTGCTTTGTTCTTTTTATTTAGGGCTCATAACAAGAGGGTTTAGTACACAGCAACAGTTAATTCCAAGTACAATTAAAAAAATTTAAAAATTGGGTTTTGCACTCACTGGAAGGTGGTTCAAATGGCACACACACTAAAACTTTACTGGCGGCATACAGCTCCCCAGAGTCCTGTGGGCTTGGTCATTTACAGTGGGGTCTGCATCCATCCACTGCATCAGCAGTGCCAAAGCAAAAGCACAGCGTGCTGCTCCAACTGCAAACCAAAGCGGGGGGTATCTGCTTTCAGAAAAAAGTGCATGGACAAAATCCATGTTAGACACTGACATCTCCAGAGAATTCATAGAAACTACTTGTCCATGCAAGTTGCAAAAGACACTTTTTCAAATGTGAAAAGAAGCACTTGTTCTTTACAAAAAAATCTTGGACATGTCAGCACTTACCGAGGCGCTGTAATGGAAATAAACTTGTACATAGCTCTTCCTATTAGTCAGTAGTGGTAGGATTCTTCGGAGGTATAAAGAGAAACTGCAACAAATGTACTGCACCCATTTCAGCAGGGTCCCCATATCAGTGTTCAGCAGGGTCCTGGGTGTAGGATTACCTCTGGAAAGCAGGCTGCTGCTGCCATCACTGTCTTGTTATATGTCTAATACAATTAGTATATTTAGAGTACCAAAAAATCCCCCAAACTTCTTCCCACATGGGCTGGAGATTACACAAAACACATGGGTGGGTTTTATTTCAAATGAAAGCAGCAGAACACCATGATCTGTGAATTATTCTTTCTAACAGCAGTTGTCAAACCTTGGCTGAATGAAGCTTTCAACACATCCCCGTGGACATGAGGCGTTGCTATGCTTGAAGTTTTAACATTAGAAATAGGTAAATAGGGCTGCTACTACACATTGACTTCAGCTACTGTGGGGGCAAATCCCCAAAACAAACCACACATTGTTCCCTTCTTGTACTGTCCTGACCTCTGTGTAATAACTATTTTATCCACAAAATGCAGCTGTGCCAAATAGTGGGAGATGCCAGAAGCTGGGGAAGGTGAATATGCACAGTAAATTCTTGTGGCTGGCACCCCAGAAGCTGCAGCCCATGATCCTGCTGGTGCTGTTTCCACCACCACCTTCCCTAGAGCTTAGTGTTGTAAATACTTGCCTTAGAGAATGCAACAGTGCTGTACATTTTCCACTGCCACGGTTGCCAACATAGGTACTGAAGTCTCTGCATGGGGTTTGTAATGCTGCCCAAAATGCTGCAGTGCTTCACCAGTGACACTTAATACTCTGAACACAACTGCTGCTCCTAGTAAAGCCACAGCACTGTGGTCTTTTCAACAGCATTCTCTAAGCAGCTTCCAAAAGGGGGCCTGCAGAGAATACAGATATCACCTGCTTCACAAAATGTTCTGTTGCACCTCGGGGAGGAGAAGCTCTGTAAATGCATCCAGTTTACTAAACCACATAAAGTTCCATCCTTTCCAGAAAGGAAGAGGTGAAGGTTTTGCTTTATGCCTGGAGCCCACAGATGGAACAAAAAAGTTTGTTTCCAGCAGAGATTTGCATCCACAGCATCTGCTATGAAGTAGTGGGAGTTGCTAGGAAGAGCACAGCATTAAGTCACCATCAAGCACAGGTGAGAGACACCAAGAAGCTCAACAGTATCAGTGCACAGTCCTCTTCCACTAAGTCATCAATGTGCACATGCACAGTAGGCAGGCAGCCCACACACCCTCTGCTGGAAAAGGTTCCTCAGTCCTGCTGCCTCCTCGCTTTCTTTTCATGATCAACTGAAATACCCCAGGTAAAAGTGGCACTTTTCAGAAGGTCCATTACAGCCACTGTCAACTTTGGCTATCACCAAGAACCCTCAGCAGCAAGAAAAGAAAATGCCCAGCAGCTGTGAAAGGAGAACAAACTGCTCGAGCAAGAACTAGCAGAGTCTATGCCTTTCTGGCATCCACGGGTAAGCCAGCCAGCCACACACCACAGGACCTGTTGGGACCTGTGGCTCACACCAGCAGACAGCTCCAGACACTTTCATCCAACTTCAACCATCTACAGGGACAAGCTGAATTCCAGGAACACCTTCAGCCTCCTGATAACACATACCAAGCTCTGTCATCTACCTCAGGTCCAAGCCACACCTCTTGTCCTCCAGTGAGAGCAGTGGCCCTTCAATGCATGTTTGTGTCTAACCAGCCAGACCAGCAAGAGATCCGGCATTGCTCTGGTGCCTACTCCAGTCAATGCACATGGACACCCTCAGGACACTCGGGCCTGGAACTTGCTGGCTGCCTCTCCTGCCCCTCTCAGCCCTCTGCTACAGCAGCTGAGGGGAAGGGGAAAAGGAGGGGAAAGAATGGGTGAGACATATGCAACCTCAGCTATCTCTCTTCGGCTGGAATGAAGGCACCAAAATGAACCTGCTTCAGCACTAGATGTGGACAGACTCGGTCAGATCTCCTCTCATGTAGGCACATTACAGAGAGGCAGCTGTAGTTAATAGCTTTGTCCCTGGTGCCAAGAGGAAGGAAGAAACCTTTGATACACAGTAAACCAAGGCAACATACACCGCTAGAGGATGCTGAACAATTTCTGTGCACAATGAAAACAGCTGGCTGGGCTAAGGCAGTTCTCACAAAGGGAGAAACATATACATTTTGGCCATTCAGCAAAACTCTTTGGGCTATGCTGGAGTGTCTCCTTCCCCCACCTCTCATACATACACACTCCCGCTTCAACAGCCTGTGATGCAGAACACCATGAGCTGTGGCAGCAAAACTCAGCAGTGAAGAGATGTTGTGCACCTTATTTAAAATACTGAGGTGTTTCTCTCCTCACCCCCGATTTGCCACCCCCTTTTAAAGTAAACCTGTAAATTAAAAAGGGGTGGGGAAGAGAAGGTTTTGGACAAGGAGAAGTACACAGGACAAAACTGGAAACACAACCCTCACTGACTTTACTAGCATGCAATCTATGTAACACTAATATACAAAGCCTGTTTACCTTGGCCTGGTCTATGACCATTACATCACATCATCCCCAAACAAGCAACAGAATTAAAATCTGTACAAAATAAAAATATGCATAAAACTCAACAAATTTCTTTACATTAGTACTGCATAATAAAGCATAAAACCAGCAGGAGGTGACCCAGAAATTCCATCCACAGCAGTTCTTGCACAATAAACAATTCCATGTACTATCAAGCAGGGACCAAACTAACCCCTGGTGCATCAGACCAAAGCCAATTCTTGAGGAGCTGTCACACATTTCCACTTTCAAGGTTTTGCAGTCTCATCTTCTGTGCTGGGCTCTGGCAAGCATTCGTATTACACTGCTCTGCTCTCACAACACAGAAAACTTGCAAGACAAAAAACCAGCTGATTGAAGATTAAGTATCGGACACAGTGGGAGTACACACTACCCCACCCACGTGCCAGAAGTGTTCAAGCACAAGCTCTTGCTCAGAGTGGGTTGACACACGTTTCACTGAAGTGTGACCTGCCAGCTGCAGTTTGGGTGCGCAGGCAGAGGTTCAGCTCTCACTTAGGAACTCATTAAGCTGCCCTTATGATGCATTTGAGCACTGTGGGCTCTGTTTTTGCTTCAAATATATCCAAGCCAAGAGAAGCCAGGAAAGCTCTGATATTCCTGGAAAACACAGCCCCCCCTAAAAGCACTAAAGGCTTGTCAATGCTGCTGTTCAATCACCTTTGCTACAAGCACCACCTCCCTGCGCCAAAAGCTTAGACCTGCCCAATGACACTAGAAACAATTATTCCAGTGACTGCACAACCAGTGGTTCTGGACTTGCTTCCACAGAAATGATGGGCTGAGGGAACAACTGAACACAGCTACTTCTCAGTCTTGCTGCAAGAAAACTTTTCAGAGTAAATGGCTTAAAGGGTATTTGTTCTGGCACTATCCCAAACAATGCTGTCAGCTTCCAGAAAGAAGACAACATGTGGATTAGCAAGGGAGAAAGCGACTTCTATCTGCACATGAATTTCTTCCAATTGTCCTTCCTGCAGACTTTAACCAAACCAGTTTCTTGCACACTGTCACAGGAGTTCCACAAGCTCACAGCAGGTGATCATATTCCTCTATGGCCTACAAACACTCATTTGTTTCTTCCTTCTTTTCCTCTGAGCAGCTATGGCATCTCCCTGCCCAGGCTGGCACCAAACCTGCACCTTCATGCTGGCACTGCGCTACCTACCAAGGTAGTAGCAGTACTCTGATTGAATACCGGCCTTTCTGGCTGCAGCCTTGCCTCACCTTGGACAAGCTACTCTTGCTACCAGCTACAAATTGGCCAGGTGACAGCCTAAAGTTGCCCAGGAAGATGCCCTTGCCCAGGAGACTCTCATAATACAAGATCAGCTCAATTTGCAGACTAACAAGACTTAACAGGAAATTTAATTAGTAAATGCATAATATTTACCCAAAGGTAACATTCAGATGTTCCTATGGGCAGACAAGTACAACCATCACTTACAGTGATCTGCTGTGTACAATCACTGAGCAGAACTTTTAAATGAACTAGATTAGGAAGCAAAGTATCATCGCAAGGGGCTACAGAGCCTTCACTTGGTATTACTCCACCCCAAGCCACCAGTACAGCTCAAAATATCTATTATAATAAACAGTGGAGAGGGCTAGGGGAAGAGCTAGGACTACTACTAGTTACTGCTTGGATTTCCATGGGAAACCAGTACACACAACAGCCCTTTTTGCTTCCGCTGAAGAGATTTTGGCAACAGACATGAAGACGACAATTGTCGTTTGTCCTGCCTCTGCACAGGGCTCTCACAGTACATATGCAAATCTAGTCATCAAGTACAAAATAGCCAATTTACAATACCTGATTGGATTTTTAAGATTATATTGTGCATAAAACTAAAGTTGGGGGCAAGTTTCTCTAGTGCAAGCAGGCATGAGTAGATTTGAACCTTAGATCACACCCCCTAGAGTTAATCCTCAGACCCCAGGAGGACCTGTAAACTTTGTTTTGCCTTCACCATCAACGGCATCTGTGAGTTCTGTTTGAACCGGCAGCAACCGTGGCAAGGAGCTCGCTGTGGAGAGGAGCACACTTTTTTTTTTTTTTACTTTTTTTTTTCTTTTTTTTTTGTGCAGAACACAAAACAAATATGTGGCATTCAGAAGATGAGAAATGGGGGTGGTGGTCCTCTGGGCTGCAGCCATCTGAATTGTCTAAACTGAAAGGTGAGTGAATGAAAGCCGGCTCTGTGTGCCCTGTGTCAGCCTACATGTGCAGAGCAGCTGCAGAAGTGCTTATGCTAAAGATGCATCCAGCTATCTGGAAGTCAGTTACAGGAACGTCTCTGTGTAGAAATCCCAGTGTTTTCTAGCACATGACTGTCCTTCCAGCTGCACAGGAGTGTAGTGTAGAAACAGGAGGGATGCTCACTGGCCAGTAACCTTCACCACAAGCATCCAGGACATCCCCAGTGCCAGGCACTGCTTCCAATATAAGTACCGTGAGGGCACACAGGATTCCTGAGACAGATCCCAAGGCCTGTCAAAAGTCAGAATTCGAGTGAAGTATGAGCTAATCAACAAGTTTGTTACATCTGAATGGGTCAGCTTAATTCAAAGTCAGATAGCTCAGGATAGCCTCTGCTGGCAGCTGAAGAGCCATTTGTTCAAATAACTCAAATCACTATTGTCTTATTGTGGGGGGGAAAATAAAAAAAAACCAAACCAAACCCAGAAGAGTGGTTGTTACAATTATCCTTCATTCAGTTATACTGGACGGGGTCCCAGAGGCTGGTGGAGATCTGGGAAGCCCTGACAGCTCCTGCAGCAGGAGATGCAGTGTTCTGTCCTCTGGTCTTCACTCTGAGTAATGCATGATTGACTCCACATAGTTCCCTGGGAACAGCCCCGTCACTCCATTCATGACCCCCTCATACCAGCCATCATCATTCTTCTTGATGACATAAATGATGGCACCTTCCTGAAATGAGAGCTCATCTTCCTTGTCCTTGGTGTAGTCATAGATTGCCACCACTAGGAAAGAACAGAACGTGACTGTTAGGAGAGGAGGAGGAAAATGCAGTCACCTCCCTTGTGCAGGCATTGCCTCACCTGTGTAAGTGCAGAATGACCTGCTGAGAGAAACAGTTTCTTCCACCCCCTTTTGTACAAGCTCACACTTAGAAGCACGTAAGCCAGGACTCCTTTAACTCTTCTATTCTTACTATTTCCAGACCCATCAGAAGAAGTGTCCAACTGTACGATAAAATTTTGGTGTGGAACAATACAACAAGGTGGTTGTGAATCCCTATGGCTGTGACCACACGAAACTATAACTACATGTGCTAAACCAGATTTCAGCACAGTTAAGAGCAGGAAAACATGGAAGAGAGAGTGTAGCAAGAGCTCTCTTTAGGCCACAGTATGAATGAGCCATGGCTGATGTCCCATACTTCCATCTTAGCTCCTTCCACATTTAAATCTCTAAAGCTGCATGTGCACCTCAGAATCCAGCAGCCACTCCCAGGACACACGGCACCACAGTAGGCAAAACCCTGTTAGGAGCCATGAAGAAGGAAGGTGGAAATGTACACATATTGTATCAGGACATTTTTCTTACAGCTGCAAAATATTTTACTGATGGCACAAAAGTTGTTAGGAAAAGCAAAGAAACTGGACAAAGAACTTGGAAATACTAAATGGAACAGTCCTGAAATGCCAGAAAATAGACATCAAATTGATACATTTTTCCAATCTCAGTGCTATCATTATGTGTTTCATAGAGAAAGTTAGTTATGCCAGACTCTGAGTACTTTAACAAATAGCATCAATCACTGCTTTGAGCACTTGGCAATGAAACATGCAGTGCTGCCACTAAGGAAATAAAAAAGTATGTTGGACAGGGATCCTAAAACCTTGTGCTGAGGATAGATGGAAAGATACTCTAAACTAAAGCAAGGATTAAAAATTAACAGCATGTGTTCATAAAACCACTGTCCAAGAGTCCTAGTAAACTCATCATTCTTTCCAAAAGAAAAGAGATCATTTCCTTTTGAGGGAGCAAAGGAATCAACACAAACCAACACTAGGGAAACCTGGATCCAGAAGAGATTATAAAATATACAGATCAATCCAAGTGGAAAATCAGAGTATGTAAAGTATTTTTTTTTTTTAATCATTTGACTAAAGCATATTTTAAAAGCACATGTTGTTAGCTCTACAATTGTGCCAGCAGTTGTTAAGTGACTTATTCTGTACACTTTTGGACACATAATTCTAAGTAAACAAAACACCAATGGAGAAAGAAGTACATTTTTAGCTTGAAAAACAAGTGTATGAACACGTGATGCATTCAATTTAAGTCCTTCAAAATTCCTAAGGGTTTTGAAATTTCTTCCTAGAGTCATTGTGCTATTTTTCTTCATTCTCTTTATGACAATAATCATCATCATCATCCAAGGATCACGGTAACTTCCAATTTCTTTTTAACTTTTGAGTGTACTCTAGTCCCTTTGGATACTAAATGGATTCATTATTTCATGATCACAAGAAGGAAACTCTTCCTTAAGTCTGTGAAGAAAATTTGCTTCTTGTTAAGCCTCATAAAATTTACCTGAAGCCTGGCTTTGTTTTTACATTGCCACTGCTTCCTCCAGCATGTTATTTGTGTACTGGTAACAGTCCTCTCTCTAAAAGGCTGTTTAATCCTTCTGTCTGTAGTCCCCCCAGCTCAAGCTGTGCTTGTCACATGTCCTGAGTTAGGAAGAGTCCAGTACTGCAAGAAAGGCTCCAGATGAGACAGGAAGCAGCAATACTGACTTAGGAGGTGGCATCCTTCCCTGACAGCCTGAGCCAGGGCCTCTTTTAGTTTCTGTTTGAATATGTTTCAATGCAGCTATGAAAAACAGAATTACTCATTTAGGTTGACATTCTTCCAATCAGTGATCTCTGGTTCTTCAACAATTACAGAGAGTTTGGCAGAACTCTGTTACATCCAACTGACCGCAAATGTAGGCTAGGCTGATTATCCAACTGGAATCTGTGAACACACACTTTCTCTAAGTGGTGTAAGTGCAATTCTTCCTTTTGGATACCCATTTCCATTCATCTGATTTGCAGAGCCAGGTCTTTTTCTTATCTTTTCCTGCCACATATGCAGACACAGAGCTCAATGGAAAACTGCAGTGCACATCCCTGGACACTGCAGGTTGGCTGTTGCTATTACAGTCACATGGCAGTGTCCTCAAGTCCAGCATCCACAGTAACTATATCCTACTTAACAATTTCTCCATCTGTTCCAAATGGATCTGCTATTCACTTCCATCCTCAGCTGCAGGCTAGAGCATATCTTCACATTAAAGGTACCTCCCACACTGCTTGACCCTCTACAGGACAGGGTCATATTGAATCCCATTCCAATTTACAGCAACAACCCTCTGTGTTGGATACCTCTTTGGTGTCCCAGCTTCTGTTGCAAAGGTCACCTACCCTAACCCTATAAAAGTGCTCTCATATGAACTTAAACAGGAGAATGGTCATGTCAAAAGTACAAATACAAATCCTAAGAACTGAGAATTCTACTTATTGGGGGTAAATATGTTGGAAGAGCTACCTACTTTCATCTGTTTTGTCCACTTTCAATCATGTGGCACAGTATATACTATTTATAGGAACTTTAGGAGTTGCCACAGGATAAATTATTTTGCTGAATAAAGCATTATAACTCCCAGCAGTGTAAGTATACATGTTCTCTGAGTATTAAAGTCCTCTTTTAGTATAAGATAAGTCATTAATTTTAAAGCTTCAAAGCTTGCTACAAAGAACTCACAACCAAGCACTTCTCTCCCAACTCTAGTAAAGTAGTCAAATCTCTAGACATGGGCTGAATAGAGCTATTAATGTAACTACAACAGAATCCACACCTATGTAAATAGCTCATTTTTTTCTGGCATCCTAAAACAACTATTTAATAGTTCTTCATACACTGAAAGCAATTGCATTTTCTATTACTTTTAAGAGTGTTTCTAAAAACAGACCAACCTTTCAATGTTTTGATCATCCAGTTTGAAAAATACAGATCAAAATTATGTCTTTGCATGTGTCTCTACATCAATAGAGACAATGTTTGGTTTCTTATACTTTTGTTCTCCACAGGAAACATTTTCTAACTAAAAGCCTGACTTTCTCCAGCTTGTCTTTCAAGACTCCCCTTTACAGTTTTGTTATCTCATGTGAGATGGAACAGATCTGTGCGTATATGCACCCATATAAACTATTTTAGTTCTCAAGCTCAAAGTCCCACAGGAAAGCAGAACAGAACTATCATTCAAATATCATTATTTCCTCAAATAGAAAGTTGTATCTCAAGGCATGTGCACATACAGCATGCCCCTTGTATTAGTATGAGACACTTAGAAATACACACCAGGACCTCTTCTTTCTCTTTTGCTACTCACTAAAGTGGTATGAAAGAATCTAGGCAGACTCCAAATCCAAAAGCAGGATGGCAGGAGCACATACAAAAAGCTGTCTCTTCCAGCTGCAAACCTACCCTTTTCTAAGTATGTCCTCGGTGCCCAGGGAGGGTCCTCCTCAGCATAGGGATCACTGTACTCCACCACAGCTGCTTCCTCCTCCTCATAATCCTCTGGAGGTGGGGGTGGGGGTGGAGACTCATCAAACACTGGCTCATCCACAGGCGGTGGAGGGGGAGGAGTATCTGAAACTGAAAGAAAGTAACCATACAACCATGAAAGTGTCTCTACAGCCAGGGTAGCTGCTTCAACTAATACTCTCTATCCCAATTAATTGCATTGGGACCAACCAACAGCTATAATTTGTGAAAATTCACTAGAGACAGGAAAATTCAGAGAAGGGAGGACCAGGTCCCTCCAATATAATTATTTATTTTTTTCCATCCTTCACAAGTTCAGACAAACTTGCAGAGGCAGTAGGAAAGGCAGAATTCTGGCTATACACAGACAAATCTTCCATCAGCTCAATCCAAAAGCCTCACCCAGTGATAAAACATAGCACAAGGAAGCAGCAAACTTACTGTTTTCTTGAACTCTGGCCACAAATCCCATTAGTGGTAACTGTGGAGTTACCTGTAGGATGGAGGGGGGAGGAGGAGCAAGGGATGCTGCCACAGAAATTAAAAAGAGAGAGGCATCCAGTTAGAAACACAACAAAGCAGCAAACAGGAAAGTAGACATCATCACCACTCAGTGCAGCAGACTGCCAAGAAGCTGAGATACGAAGACTGACATTTAAAGAAAAATGGCTCAGGTGGTTTAAGCATATTCCTAATCCTTTCTTCAAGGATATTAACATTAAGAATCCATGGAGAAGTATTTTTCTGATTTGTCTATGAGATACCCTTTAAGATGAAGTTTCTTACTAATATAGCACCTTATGAACAGACCTAAGAAATATATCAGAGGACTCTCTGCCTATAATCCTCCTGCTTTCAGATCTAACTGTTATTTATAGAGGTGACTAACAGCATCCATGAATCCCCAGCAATGAAAATGGATATACTTCTTTTTTTCCCAAGATGTAGGCCAAAAACCCCCCACTGAATGAGGCAGCTATTTCAGACAAAACAGGAAAAGATGCCTTTTGAGAAGCGTGCAGATCTGAAAGATGCAACGCTTCTGATCTTATTGACAGAACACAGCACACTGTGCTGCTGCCAAACCACAGGGCGTATTCCAGATGTGCTGCCTGGTTTCCTCCCCTCCTGACTTCACTGCACTGAACTCTGAACCGCCCTTTCACTGGCACCAGTGAAGAAGAGCTCTCTACTGGTACCAGAAGAGCTCTCTCTGTACAATAAGAGCTGCCTTTGAACAATACATGTGAATTCCCAGTTAAAGAAGATACTTTCAGCCAGTTGCAAATGCTATAACACTGAACTGTGGTTTAAGCCTGGAATGCAAATTTCAGTTATCTAGTTAAAAAAATCAGCTAACTAGTTTTATATGAGTATATAATGAATAATGCAGCAAATTCTTTAGGCAAGTTGCAAGATGATTTTTCAGACAGCACACCTTAGGAGGAGCACAAATAATAAATTTCTTGTTAGTATGTGGCATACAAAAAACATTTAATCATGTCCAAAGGGATTAAGGGGAAAAAAGTCTGTAGTTTATGTAGCAGTACATTTATTTAGCTACCAGACAGAACTAAATAAATTTCAGGCGAATTTCAGAGGTAGTAAGAAAATTGACAGGTATGATGTAGCATTTTTCAGAATTAATTCACATTATCATAGCAAGAGAAAAGAGTTCTACAGCATTTACAACTTGTGTCTCAAAACAACTTCTATTTGCTCATTCCAGTAACAACTATCTTAAGTGCTTTGAATTTCTTCTGTCACTCACATTCACATTTCTTTCAGAACCACACTCTATAAATGAAAAGACTAACAGCAACCATCCTTTTTGTTGCAAAAATATCTTGTACCTCCATATAAAGTAAGTTCCACTATCTCACCATGCAAATGATATCTCTTGAGAAAAAGCTGAAATACATTTCTGATTTCGGATTCCTTGACTCAAATGACATGACCTCAGAGTAATTATTCCTTTAAGTGTAACCATGATTGCTGTGAAAAGATTTGGTCTTGCATTTTTTCAAAGGAGAAAAAGGGAACTCAAATTTCAAGTCCTACTGAAAAGCAGTAATATTCATCAATTCAGTATCCTTGTCCCTGCTTTTTCAATTATATATGCTATAGAAGTGTTTCATTTCAAATGATTCCTCTATTCAACATCATATGGACTCAAACAATCCGTATTTACCATAGGAGAGTAGCTCCAGTTTCCTTGGTCTCTTCAGTGTACTTTGTTCATGAGCTATATATATTTCTTTGAAATAACAAGGCTTCCATGGAGAAAAATAAATCACTCTAGACAAGCACGCCAAGCAAATACAAAAAATTCCTAGGTTCAGTTTGGGTTGTGTGGTTTAATCGCAATGGTGATGCTAACACTAGCTGACATTATTCCTTGTGTATCTTAACCCCTCAGTCTGTGCTTCAGTCTTTGCACCATGCAGGGACCATCATAATATTGTCTCTATATGCTGTATGACTCTAGTTTTGACATTTAAGAGGCAATACAGTAAATATTTTATTATTATTTTGTTTATTAAATGCATCAGAAGATCTTTACCTCTGCTGTATAAACATCATCTTAAATGCTCTCTCCTATCTTCCTTCCATATTGATATTTTTAATACACAGTTGCTGTAAATTAATTTAGAAATGCTCACGAGCATCTTCTACTAGGCTGCTTCAGACTGGTAGGAATTCAGCTGTACAAATGGGGTGGGGTGCAGCCACCATCTCAATACTTGCCCAGATTTTCCCACATGGATTTTAGCCTGTGCTGAGCTGTACATTGCTTAGATAATGATATCCAAAGTTGCAAGGTTAAAGCAACTTGGCTAGCAAGAGTGGCTTTAGGACAGACATATGCTGAGATCATTTAGAGTCTGCATTTCTTAATACTTTCTTTTCAGTTGTTAAAAAGGTCTTGTCATGAAGCAGAAAAATTGTATTGTCTTCAAGTGGCATTTAGCAGAACAGGGCAATGCAAGTATCTTTCATCCTCCTGTCAAGTGAATAAACTAACATTTTTTAATTTTTTTTTAAAATGGCAATGGAAATAACAGTACCGTGTTATTGCCAAACAGCCTACAAACAACAAGAAGGCATTGCTGGCACCCTCCTCTGCCTCTTGCAAGGTCTCTCTTTCTCTTCTTGTTTTCTGCCTCTCTTCAGGAATGCTGGGAAAAAAACGTGGCCTCTGTCCTGTCACTATGAAACCTGCTCCTTCCAGACACATCAGTGCCTCTGTTCTTAAGGCTTTCATCAATTATGCATGCTTGAGCATCCTCTCCTTTCAAGGTGAGCTCAAAAAAACCCTTGGTTTAGTGTAACTGCCAAGCTAATAAATTTTGTATTCTGCTGGTATATCAAAAAAAGTCTCTTACTACAACTGCTTATTTATATTGTCTCAGATATGCCAGTATAACTGAAGTATTTTGTTTGTGATTTACAGTTCAAATGACTAATCACCATAATCATTACCTTCCTTCTGGATACACAGACTGAACTGTGGTTATGCAATTTATTTTAAGTCTATTTGGCATCTTCTATGATTACATATTAACAATGCAATGGCAGCTTGCAGAGAATTATCCCTTTGCTAAAGCAAAAAATGCATAGCAGTCTTCAAAAACTCTCTGGATATACTGAAAATCGTCTTTATTGCAAAAATTGCTTTATTGTAATCCTGAAAGGTTTCTTTTGTTGCTATAACCCTTCTTGCCTATTCCCCCCTTCAGCCTTGAATATGCACATAATGTGCTTAGAAAATATGACCTATTTCAGGCAACTGGGCTACAATTCAGCCCTTCAAGCTCCTCCACTTCCCTATGCCCAGAAGGACCATTCATTTCCATCTCAAGCTCAGCACAACCCTCACCCTGCAGGGTAGCTCACAAACAGTAACAGCCAAACTTGATCAAATCCCTTAAATGCAGGATTTGGCCTAATTCCAAGTTCAGTGCTCAATTTTTAAAAAACAAACAAAATAAACCAACCAAACAAAAAACCCCCAAAACAACCAAGCAACACCCCTTCAAATCCCACCATCACAAAACACCAACATACTCTAGTAGTATTGCAACTCGACATTCAATCTTGCCAGTATTAGGGCATTTCCTGACAAGAAACCTTCAGCGTGTTCCCTGCATCTTTCTGTAGCTTTGTCAAAAGAAAAATTCTTCTCTAGTTTGGTATAAAACCCTTCTCCTGTCCCATCAGAAGCACAGGAAGGAGGACTCCTTAGGTAAAAAGGCTACTGTGTTATGCTGACACACAGAATGCTCACTCCCTGGTAAATCTCCTCTTGCTTTGTAAGGCAGATCACCCATAAAATAACATCACTTGTGGGCTTAGCAGATGACACAGCTCCCTCGCACCCAAACACCACTGGTGTCCCCAAGGCATCTAATGCTTATCCCGGAGTAACAAGTGCAACTGTTTGAACTGTACATGACCCAGAAGGAAAAAGCACACAAGACAAAAGACTGATTCTTGAAGAACCAGCATTCTGGTGCAAAATGAAACATCCATCGGACACCAAAGCAGGTCCATGACACATGGTGTAGTTCAAGGACTAAAGTTTGTCTGATAGGGACTGTGACATCAATTGTAAATTATCTGGCAACAAAGACAGCATTTTTTAAGATGTTTGCCATAATGGAAGCTGAACACTCTGCACTTGCACTGCAGCTTTGGCACAGCTACCAGCAATATTCTGAAAATGCAAGAGCTGCAATGGAGACAGAACATAAAATTTCAGAGAGCTGAAGGTCACTGTGTTCACCACCGCTGATTTCAGTGGAGCAGGCAAGCCTTCTTACCTGGGTTCTGGTTGTAGAAGGGGCCCCCATTCATCTGGTTCTGAAGGCTCGTCTGGGATGTGATGGAAGGAGGCCGCCGATACGGCAAAGACCCCCCGATGGTCGGGGGCGTGTGCCGAGCTGCAGGCCTGTTCATGCTGTAGAACTGAACTGGGTGACCTAGGGTAGAGAGAGAAGTGCATCAGCAAAGAGAAGGATGATGCCTGCCTTCAGTTTCAAAGGTTCAGAAAGGTTTCCGGCTCTTTAAGACACTCTGCATCCTAGGAGGAGTCAGCCACTTCGGCTGCCAGACTGGCAGGACACTGAATGTCTCAAGAGCAAAGGAAAACATAACGGTCCCAACTGCCTGCACTCAGCACTGCCTACAAAAGCCAGTAGGAAAATACAAAGGTGTTTAAGCTACGAATCTTCAAAATTAAAGAAAATAATATCTGGTTATCTATTTTAAATAATGTATTACAATAACTTCTTGTGAATTTACTTATTTCTAAGCCTGCAAAAAATTCCCCAGTTCTGCAATGAAGGAAAATACATGTAAAAAATAACTGCAGGCAATTTCCAGGATTCAAAGCTGTTACCTTCTGTAACTGAGAAACACAGAATTACCTATCTTAGTGCCATTTAGAAGATATTCAGAGAATCACCTGGGGAGAAGAGAATGTTAAAAACTGCTCGAAGGATGGAATAAATGAAGTCCAACTAAAAGACCCTCTCCAAGAGAGCTCTCAAAACAATTCCTCAAACACTTGCTCTGTATTTTCATTACTTCCTGTACTCAAGACATGGATTGTGAATCCCAGCAAGCAATAAATGAAGCAAGGTATCTTCTGTGCTCACATAAAATTATCTGGATTTTATACTGTATGTAACAGCGAGCTGGATTTATTATTCCTAGATGACTTATTACACCCTATAAACTATTCTGCCTCCACCATTTGTCCTAGAAGCAAATTTGAGAGTTTGCAAGAAAACAAGGAAAGAAGGGATGGTCAGTGTGGTTGAGGAGAGAAGTAAATAGAGAAACAGAACAAAAGAATGTATAAATTTAAAAAAACCTGCATTGTTCTTCATTATGTCTTGCTTGCTTTGCACAACTGTGTATTAGGTCAGTAAATAAAAATACAAGTTGCTTGCTCTGTTACTTGCTTGTACGAGCAAATGCAGAGTCACATTCCTTCTGCTTTGTACCAATAATGTAGTGTACCATATAAGAAAATGCACTTTTTACAAATAAGAAACAGCTAAGAAAGAATCCATTCTATAAAGGCTTTTCCCCATTTTTCCTGATGTCTTTCCAATGTGTGTGTCTCTCTCTCTTAATGTATTTGCAGAAATTGGTGGAGAGAAGGGAGGAGAGAGGGCTAAGAGGTTTTTAAGGACCAAAAGCTATGACTTCAGAAGTGGTGACCTATCCAGTCTCTTCAAATACTTTATTCCAGAGAAGCCATACAAGCAATCACACTAACAAAACAGGGAAACAAAAGATCTTAAAAATAGTAACTAATACGAAATTTCTCTTATGAAACTGTGAATGTGAATTTACAGTCATTAAAATATTAATCTCTGCTTGCTTTTGACTTGTTAAAAATATAGAAACTACATGGCTTAAGAACTGGGATACTGACAGTGCATCAAAAATGGAAAACTGATTGAGGCACTATATGCCACAGCTCATCCCCAAGAAAGTAGTTTAGTCACAATCATCTTCTGACATCAAAATTCATCTCATTTAAGAAACTTCTGGTCACACTTAAGGAATCTAGTGTAATTATCTTCTAATTTTGTATGAGCCATGGATCTTTAAACCACATGCAATTTCAAGAATGCTTCTGGAACCTGGTGTTATTTTTACTAAGCGACGAACACTAATAAACACACAAACCAACTCCCACCCCTGGAGGCAGCCTTCCCACCATAATGTAAAGTAGCAAAGAATGCAGGTAGCTACACATGAATTTGGCTGTCTGAAGATCTTTACACTGCAATCTCCTCATCAAAAGGTGATACAGGTTATGGTTGGTAAGTGCTACACTCTGCAACTTCAGCACATGAGAAAATGGAAAGCGTAGCATTGAAAAAAAGGAAGTTGCAATATACACCCTAAATACCACATATGAAAACAAAATGCTTTAATAATAGTCCACATAATAAAAGCTTGTATTTTACTAATACTGGACACAAAAACCCCACCCTTTTCACCAGTTCATTAAAGGGAGATTTGTCATTTGACAGCACTGAAGAAACCAGTTGCATAAATTATACTTTGCTAGATACACTTTTTTTTAATCATATTTAAAGAGACTAATAATTAGACTCAGAACTATCAGTGCTGGTTCCTGCCAAATATAATTATTCTGTGAGGTTCTCAGTATCCAAACAGAAATAAAATTATGATTTAGCAAATTATAAAAATGTAAAAATAATCAAATTATAAAATTAAATTATTGTTGTTAATAAAATCAATAAAATGTAACCATAAAATGTAACAAATACAATTGATTGAACTATACATTACCCAGAAGAAAAAAGCACACAAGATAAAGACTGAGTAATAAAGAATCAGCGTTCTGGTGCAAAATCAAACACCCATCTGACACCAAAGCAGGTCCATGACACATGGTGTAGTCAAGGTTAAGTCACACCTTGAATTGTCTACTGTCACGATGACCTTATAGTTGGGTATTAGCAGATATTTTCCAGTTATAATTAAACTTCTTTTTAAATTATGAATCACTGCTGCCGAAGTAACTTTGCAAAGCCTTGGATCATGATCACATCTGGGTTCATCTGCCCAGCAGCTGGAGCAGAGACTCACCTGCAGAGGGTGTGGAAGAAACAGCAGGGGGAGTTGGAGAGGTGAAGCCATCAGCAAGGGGCTGAGCTCCTGCAGCAGCAGCAGCAGCATCTGGGGCAGCGGAGGAAGGGGCAGGAGGAGCAGGAGGAGTGGGGGCAGGAGCAGAGGTAGCAGGAAGGGGAGAAGTGCCAGCTGAGCCAGCAGGGGCTAAGTGAAGAGAGGAGGAAGAGGTGGAGTTAATAAGGAGATATGTTAGCAAGGATTAGAGAAAGCCTCTGACTATTCAGTGTTAGCTATTTATTAGCTGCACAGTATTTCAGAATGCACAAGATGAGAAAACAATGGAGCTATTAAAGAAAGGCTCATTCCTGTGGAGATGGTAAATGAGGGTCAAGCAAATCCACTTCTTTCCAGGTCTGAAGGGAACACAACCCAAACTTTTCAGTGAAAGCCATTACTTCTGAAAGATGTCTTTGCATTGTGTTATTTATGCTCCAATCTCTAGCATGGCTGTCTTTAGCTTCTGTATGAATTAGAAAATATAAAGAGGAAACAGAAAAATTTCCAGCTCTTTGTTTCAGAAGCATCATGTATTTTGCTGCAAGCCAACTACAGGATCTTCTTCACTGAAAAGGCTGAGCAAAGGAAAAAAAAGTACTAATAACACTTCCTACTTCTGGAAAGTCTGGGGCCCTTACATTGAGCAAGTATCTCTTTGTGACAATTCAGGCTTGCATTGATGTACTCAAGATATACTCTGTGCCTGCCTCTCATTCCATCTAATTTTGTAAACATGCTTCTATGTATCTTCTATGTTTTGTAGACATGCTTCTATGTAGCCAACGAAAAAACATTTAATTGCTTAAAAAGACAAGGGAGAAGTGTCCCTCAGCCCACTGGAAAAGGTGCTGTGTCCTATCTTGTCATATGCAGGCAGCCAGGCAAAAAATTCTGATAAACAAATTAATACATACAAGGAATATTACAGCACATCAGACACTCAGAGAAGATACTACTTGATTCAAACTCGTATTAGCAATAGCAATGAACTCTGGGCTTCCCTTGGATTTTAGGAAACTGCAAAAGCTCAAGGTTAACAATGAAGCAGAAAGAGGAACAAGAAGTTTCCATTTACCTGGATAGACACTAGGAGGAGATGGTGTGGGAACAGCAATGGGAACACCTACACTTCCACTTCCACTATTCTCTCGACTGCTGCTCCGACTACTTGGATGGCTTCCTCCACTACTGCCACTGCTGCTGTAAGAAACCAAAGCAACCAGGGTATGAATATGCTGCTGTTCATGCTGAAACACAAGATCCCTCACAGAGCATCTTACAAAATCAGAGAAGTAACAGGGAACAAGAGAAAAAAACCAATATAAACCTATACAAAGCTGGCCTTTCCTGAGACTCTCCACTTTGACTGCAACACAAGAGGCTTTTTTTGCAGTAAGTTAGCCTTAGTGAACTTGCCCAAAAATTAAACACTTCCAGAACATTGTTCAAAGCACATCATTCCAGGGTTGTTAAGCTCCTACAGAACAAATACACAAATTTTTCCTTAACTTTAAAACTTAAGAATGCTTAGACTGTGATTTGTATGCTTTCATAGGAGACAACTAAAGCCTAAAAGTTTTAAGACAGTAAAATTCAGATTTCTTATCTTTTAAATCCACTTGTTTGCCCATCTTCAAGTGCTTACTATGTTTAAAAAGATTTCAAGGGAAGTATTTAGATCTATCACATCATGAAACTAATTATCCTACAGAAAAAGCTAGTCTGCTGCAGAGCCTCTGGTAATGCAGTTTAGCTTTATTCTGTTTGAAGTCCTCAATATCCCCAAAACACTATGCTACAATTTCAGCTATTCAACAGCAATAAAAATAAATAAATCAAGCTATTAAACAGCAAAGACTGTTCAAAAAATGTCAAGTATCTAAGAGCCTTTCAACATGAAGAAGGCAAGTTATGTACAAGGTCTTCCCCCAGTTTGGCAATCACTCAGTATAATAGTATCATGATCTACCTCCTTGAAAGACTTCACAATCTTAGTAATTCATTAAATACTCTAAGTGACAGCACTAAAACTGAGGTGAACAGGGGATTAAGTGAATAATTTTAACACAATTCCCTATTCTGGCTTTTTTAGAGCTCATTCTCTCATGCAAAGGAGATTCCCAGTCCACAGGATGAAGGAGGGAGCTTCCCAGCAGGGACAGGTGGATTTACTGTTGAGCACAGCAGTTTCCATCCCTGCGGTGCGGGCCCTGCAGTGTCCCTGCAGGTGCGGTGTCCCTGCAGGTGCGGTGTCCCTGCAGGTGCGGTGTCCCTGCAGGTGCGGTGTCCCTGCAGGTGCGGTGTCCCTGCAGGCGCGGTACCTGTAGGTGCGGTTGCGCTGGTTGACCGAGGCGGTTCTGACGGGGCTCTGCTGGGCCGGGGCCATGGTGCGCGTCGGGCTCGGCACGTAATCGTTGGGCACCACCGGGGGCCGCACCGGCTCCAGTGTGCGGTACGGGGAGTGCCGCCTGCACAGCACAAGCACACGTCACAGCCAGTTAGGGTAACGCACACAAACCCAGAGATTTCTCACTCCTTCAAAGACAGCTACATACTAATCAGGAACGTGAGCTTAAAAAATGGGCTTTTTCTATAATTTTACAGTACTTATTTCGTAGGACAAGGGGGAAAAAAAAACAATTAAGGGTGTTGTTCATCACACACATGAGTGCAAACAGCACTCATACCACTTATAACACATTTTCCTACGGTCAAAAACTAAGGTCAGGTTCATAAACTTTACTGTGAAGTACTTTCAACAAGCAAGCACAGCACAAATAATTAATGAACGGTGCCATGTACTCATTTTTCAGCTGTTCATCACCACCTGCAAAAGCCACAGCTAATGACATTTTATTCTAAAGTATGTAATTGTTAAGTGTTCAGCACTGAGAAAAAGGTTCCTGTTGGGAAAGGCTCATGATGCCCACTGTCTTCAGGCAGCAGCACACTAACATACCAATACATGATCGGTGTAAGAGGATGTGGATAACATCTCTTGGCCTCTGTGAATGGTTAAAATAAAACCATGAAACCTCTCCCACCACAGAAAAAGAAAGCATCTTCCCTCTTTTCCCTTCTGTTCACCCACTCAGTAACTGCACTTACCCAATAGTTCCTTTTCCTGACATTGGTGGACTTGGTGGCTTCTGGGTGGGTGGTGTTGTGCGAGGCAGCCCACCCATCTTCATGTTCTGGGTGCTGACCTGCATGAAAGAACGGGGAGAAAAAGGGCCTTCACTGAGCTCAGGGTCGAGGGGAGAGACACTGAGATGCCTTTAGCAATTAACTCTAAGTAGGGGAAGGTTGAAACAAACAAAAAAATTGAGAGGCCATGCGTTTTATATGCAATTTCCACTCTGCTAGAAGTCAAGAGTTGAGCTCAAAGGACTCTTTATTACATAGTTCTTAGAAATTGTACAAAAAAGTGAATTTGCCTTCAGGTTATCACATAAATATTAAATCTCTGAGAATACAGACACTGTACCTAACCTGGCTGAACCTCCCAGACATTATTTGAGAAAAAGGCAGTTATTTCACATGGCACTACTGAATGGTTAATTTTCAAAAATATTATTTAACACTGTTTAAAAACACTAAGGCTTATCTAAATAGGCCACAATATAATGTAATTTATACAGCTATGGAGAAGTCAAACTACTCTATAAATATTACCCATTGTTTTACTGTTTTCACAGCTTATAAAATCTTTTCAAGATATTTACTTTAAATATTAGTTATATTAGTAAACATACAGAGAAGGCTGTTCTGAGAAAAGTACAAATGTGGTTTTTTCCCCCCCCATTAAATCTGTACCAATTTCATCTCAGAGTTTATAAATAAATGGACAGGTAGAAAAACATTTAGCAGTGATGTGATATAACTGCAGTAAAATAATTTACTCTAACTTCTTTCAAAAACTCATTTGCATTCCTGACTGATTGACTAATCTAGGAATTGTAAACAATTGTTACCCATGTGCATTTTGTTTCTCTGTAGTCTGCCAGCCAAGCAAAATTCCCTTGATGCACACATCCTTACAGGAATCAGTACACAGTCTGCTTACGAAACAGCTCGGATTTATGACTGCCTGAGCTACTGCTTAGGCACAGAGACATTCAGCAAACCTAAACAAGTGTGCTTACATCCCTCTCTCTTCTTTCTGCCATGCTCTATCTCACAGAGTTTCTTCTTTCTAAAACATAAGTCCTGGCTACTGCCTCCACCTCCCATAGAAAAATGAAACAGTGATCAAGGCACTCAAGAGTATTTGCAAACATTATTGAAGGCAAATTATTCCTTCATAATTTGACTCTAACAACTCACTTAAAACCCTGGCAGTGTTTAGATTTGTGAATTGATAAATATTGACAACAATATAAAGAGTAATACATTCAGTATTCTAATCCACTGAAACTTGATTCTCTGGCTCTAAGTAATCCCAGTGCTATCACATTTTCAATCTGCAGGGAGGAAAAGCAAACCTAAGCATTGGAAGGGGTATTTTTTTCAGATTCAAAAACAAGCATTTGGATTTAGTTGTGCAAGAGTACTCTGTAAAGTCAATTTAAGACAAAATTATTTCGCACAGCATTATAAAGTCCTTTAAGCCAACTCTAAGCAACAAGAAATCTAAAGTTAATTCAAGTGAGGGATGAGGTAAGCACTGAACTACAACTACTTGAAGGGAAAAGGGGAAGTGTAAAATGAAATACATTTTATTCTATACACGGAACATTTAAGAAATAGCAAAATCTGAATTTTTTTTTTAAAGTTGCAGCACCCCCTGTATTTCCTCTTCCATTAAACATGCCTGTTTCACCCACCCACCTATTTGAGTTTTTAAAAAAAACAAACACACAAAATCCACCTTAATTAAATGTTTACTGAATTGTCTCTTGCTGTTTTTCAAACAGCGCACTCAGCCTCTGCTTTTGGATGTTTTTAGATGACAGACCAATCTGTGTGCCCCTGAATAGTCCATTTAGGGGTTTTAACTGGCTACACTATTGTTTCTCATAAGATGATGTAACCACTGGCTATCACTTTACAACTAATATAAAATCCCATATATTTGATACAAATAATGTTATTATTTTATATACCATGACTGCAAGAACAACAATGAATTTCTTGCCATCCCCAAGGGTACAGGTACATGAAAAGGCAGGACGACTGAGGCGGAGGATGCTGGAACATCACACCAGGTACAGCCAGAAGTGGAGGCAGCACTTGCCTCACTAACACAGAACTCCAGTGACTGCTTGGTATTTTCATTAACACTACAGAGATCCTTGACAAGAATGGGAAGAAAGCTTTAGAAAATGTGGCCAAGCAAAAAATTATCCTTTAGCCCAGGAACTTAGCAAAAAGAAGCCATCCTTAAAAAAATCTAACCTGGAAGATTAGAAAATTCACTGACAGCAGGTTTAGTTTCAGGGTCTTGGAAATTACTTTTCAACACTGAAATTGAAATGTTCAGAGAGCAAATAATTAAAATTTACAGGGCTGTCTTCAAATCTGACAGGACCGATGGCTTGAAGATCAGCTACTCTAAGTTAAACAACCCTGTGCAAGTAACTTCCCCTTGACTTACTGCCAAATAATCACAGAAGAGAAACTAAAAATACACAATTATTTCAACAATTCTGATCAAAATGGACAGATCCTTGGAAATAAAATCATGCAAGATGCTAAAAACAATGAAAATTGCACCAACTACAACTGAGATTAAAACACTGTAATATAAACAGCTGTCTCCTTCTATAATGATTTCTGCTTGGGGCAGAAGGAATGCCCCCTTCTCTTCCAAACTTTACTTTATTGCCTTTTCTATTTTACACATATGTTTGTAAATACAGTTTCCATACACAAATCCTCCCCCACACATCCATCTTACAAAGATCTAAAATCTGAAGCAACCACCAGAACTCAAGGTCACATTTGCATTCACTGTCAAGTTAAAAAATTCCTTTTTCTGGAGTAAGCTGGTATTTGCCAGAAGTTGCACTGTTTCAGACATCATTTCTCCTGGTTCTGCACAGCTGGAACTAGCCAGATGCAGCTGATTTAATGAGAGGGTGAAAGCAGAGGAATGCATCTGTCTGATGGTGGTTTTTTTTGACTGCAGGACCCCCCCAGGGCTGAGGCTGATTTCTACTTTAAATCTTGCAAATCATTTTAAGAAAATGCATAGCAAAAGAGAGCCTGCAACCAGAAAAACAAAGGAGTATCTGTCTCTGCCTTTCCTCACAACTGCACAGTTAACCAGCCAACCACTGTGTTTAGAACAGGAAAAAAATAAGAGAGGCAGTAACGACTTGGGCACAAAGCTCAGGAAAAAAACACAGCTGACTGGTGTAAAAGGAGGAAGACAACCCTGTAAACACACAAGTAGGGCACAGGGTTTGTGCTGAATGTATGCAGGGATTTTTCAAATACATTTTCTTTTCCTCTTTCACAGAAGAAAAAAAAAGTAAAAAACATTACCAAGATAAGTTGTGGAACACCAAACAGTTCTAGTGAGATCTTGGTTATTTTCTTTTTTTTTACTTGATACCTTGCAGAAGCTTTTTACAGAATTAGCAAGCAAATGCACCACAGAAAAATATTTTCTACCAAAGCTGTAACTTTGTCAGCAATGGAGCTGGAATTGGAAGCTTTGCTGAGGAAGAAACTACAGAAACTACTTAAAAAGCAGGTCCTTGGTAGGTAAGACATCCTAGAAAATGCTCTGGGATCCAGCCCCACAGTAACAGCTGCAAAATGAACTGTAAAGAAATGGATCCCTATGGACCATTCTGTTTCAAAAGGCTACAATAGTATTTCATGCAATATTTTCTAGTACTGAGCTACAGTTTTAGAAAGGTACCATCTGAAGACTTGAAGACACAATATGGCAGTGACTAGAGCAGAAAAAACTATCCTCTTAAGTTAATTTTTTTCATAATTAAGACTTATTGGCCAATTTCTATTTTTGGCAACTATTTTTTCATAGATTCCAGTGATTAAAACACCATCTTATGGTCCTACATATGACCGAGTTTCCTTCATAGTTACATTTTTATCAGCATGTAACATACTGAGTTTCTTTAGCACTCCCCAGTCTAGGGAATTTGTGCCGAGATAAATTGGCTAAAACTGATAAATTCTGCTGTTCATTCAATTTAATTCTTGTGAGTATTTTCACAAGTCAAAAAAAAAATAAAAATCACTGAACAGGAAGTGCAGAAATACATAGTTGGTCAGATAGGAGAGCTGGTCAAGAGACTGCAAAACCTATCTGCATCAATGTTCTGTATTTATACAGACATGAGGCACTTACCTGCAAGAAAGCAAGCAAGGTGGGCTTTTTGGGAGTTTGGGGTGGTTTTGGTTAGTTGGTTGTTTTTTCTCCCCCTAAATACCAAATACCAGATATTCAACACAATCAAACCTCAGGAGGAGCTACTTCTAAAGCTGGACACAGACACAAATTTTGAAGTGGTGATTTACTTTCACACTGTATTTCCTAGAACTTCCAGGATGTCAAAAGAATAGTTTTTTGCCTGAAACCTAGTAAGAAAAATTCTCCCATCAGCGATGTTTCATGGATTACATTCAGAAACTTCACGCAGTTCCTCAACCTTCTTGAGCAATTTTACATCCAATTACAGGAACAAACAACTGAAGACTGAATGAAAACTCCCTTTCCATGCCTTGCTTCATCTTGTTAATGCTACAGAGATGATTAATAGATTTTTGGCCCATCATCTGCTACCTCAAAGTGAGTTTCTTTTCAGGCTGTGCTCAGCCACGCAAATAGTTACTGTGTATGTCTAATCAAACCATTTGCTTGTCAGCTCATTAACCAGTTTATATGGAAGTGAAATGTATAAATTTCAGCCCTGTTTGGGTAAATGACCACAAGTAGAAGCTTCTGCAAGTGAGCTTACTTTTTTTACCAAATCCACCCATGTAAAGTGAATTGAAGAAACAAATCTGATGAATACAAAAAGGCTTAATCAATGTCATTTTCAATTGATTTTTCTCGGCCTTGTAACTGAAATTTTCTTCAAAATCTGTTTAAAATTTAAGTTACTCAGACACAAATCCAATACTACAGTAAGTCAGTTTAATATTATAGCTGTTAGGTAAGGCTAAGGGGTTTTTGCAGTCACAAAAAAGAAATGCAGGCTTAACACTTTATAGCAAATCACTTTTAAGG